ATATCTATGTTGATTACTATTGGATTGAGCTAAGATTATGAATAAGTTATTTATTCTTCGTCCTTTTGAATAAAAACACTTTCGGAATGATGGTAGTAGAATAGTCGATCTAATCTCGCAAGACATCAGAGCAGCTGTAGAATAGAGATTGCAATTCCATTTTTTTTATATGAAAGGGGACAAGTGATCCGTCCTTTCTCCCCCTTTCGTCATAAGGCGTGGTCTGACTTTGAGAAATAAATTCTTGTGTTTAGGTCCCTACTAAATAGAACCCCAAAAAGTGGATCCCGCTCTAATAGCTCCAAATAAATTAAATACATGCATTAAGATGGGTAACACAATGTATAGGGTCTGTCTCCTGCCCGGTGTTGGATGGTCAGAAGGATAAGTGTTATAAGCGATCATTGAAGAGGAATAAAAAAAATTGGTAGTTTTCCTATCAAGTACATGGATATTTTTAGGTTGCTTGACTTCACAGAAGGGATTTTGGCTCTAACTCCATAAAGGGCTGGTGGGTGGGGGTAGAGCCTCTAGCGGTCTTTGCCGGGACCGATGCTAGTAGTTAGATTCAATATTCAAAAAGTCTTAAATAGAAGCCAAATCCAATCTCACCAGTCTTCCTTCCTTTTTAGTGCACATGAAACGAAAACCCTAATAGAGACTACCTGATAATCTCATTTCTTTCGACGAAGAGGGGGTCCACCTGCCCTTGCCTTTCACTCTCATTTATTCTCTTTCTTCTAGCATATATCTGGCTTAATAAAGAAATACCTATATCACTTACTAGACTGAACAAGACTACTATTTCGCTTTGCAAACACACAGGGCAAGTTCTAGATATCAACTAACATGTACAGAATATCAACAACCTCACACATACATGGCACATAACTCAATCAGGATCGAATCTATCCCGACTCTCTTGTCAAAGCATTTAAGCAAAGTCACAATCAATCAATTTAAGGCACTTATCTATGAGTCAATAACTGAGCCTAGGAGTCACAACTAAGGCACTCACTACTCTTAAGGTACAACAACTTCAAGAAAAGTCATCTCCATTTAATACATAGCACAAGATTTCACTATTCCTAATAAAAAAAACTAATTACACCCGGTTCAAGCAAAACCCTTGGAAAAGAACCGCGGCACTAAGCAAAACTAAGGGGGAATTGTTACACTTCATAAAAAAACAAAATATTTTCTCTTCGACTTTGATCACTCAAGAAGACAGTCGAGGAAATCCATCGTCAGGAAAAGTCAAATTTCTTTTTTTTTTTCAATCAAAAGAAACGAAAACATCTAAAGAAACGGAAACAAACACACATATACATATTTACATCCTCACTCCACACTTTTAAATTGGGGAATGTCCCCATGACACACAACTACAAGTCTCTAAACTTCTCAAATTTCTGACGCACATTTGCACTGATGCGTCGCACTGTGCTACACATTGTGCGAAGCATTAGTACAAATGTTATAACCCTTGCGCTTTCTTCCAAATTTCATATGCAACGCCGGTCCACGAGCCCCGGACGTGATCCCGGTTTAATTCCTAGGCTTTTACTCAAACTTCAAAGGTCTAGATTATTCTATTTAGCTCCAATTTATCTTTTTAACTCTGAATCATCTCCTACAAAGCATAAAATACATAATAAGTTAAAATATCTATCATTTAAGCTCACACACACTCAAAGTGAAGTAATTAGAGTGCAGAATGCGGCTAAAACACGTGTTCCTACTCTACTATCAAAATATGACCCAAGAAATTTTAAGTTAATTCTCTTTCTTTTCTCAGTTGTCGCAGGTGTTTCTCCAACTCTGGTTCGTAGGGTATCACTTGCTTTGAAGAAGATCGAGTCATACACCAAAACAATTAAACATGTATCCTGCACAAGTGAGAAGACGTGAATACACTAAAATAAAAATTGGTTCCTGAATTAGTACTAAAAATTATTTTAAAAACTATTGATTTCCAATCCCAGGCAACGACGCCGAAATTTCACGAGCACAAAACACAACACAAAATTATTGTTCTCTAGTCAAAGATAGTATAGTTTAACTATCGTCTCCACAAGGATTGAATTTAAACAATATTCAGTTGATTACTATCCAGAAAAATTAACACTTGATTTGATGATTATCAACTATAATTAATTACTAAAAATTAAGCAATTAATAATTGATCACAAAAGACAGCAGATGAGCAACGAAGAATATCAATGAGAGAAATAAGGGTAATTGACTAGACAGGTGCAAGATAATAGATTCGGGACCCAATTCTTGAGTTAATTCACTCTATAATACGGTTGGTTTTTACGAATTCAACATATAATTAGATTACTCTTGAAGTTAATGTTCCTCTTTCGATTAAACGTTAATTTCAGTAATTAATCCAATTGAAGCATGGTAAACAATTGAAACGAATAAAATGATGGTTATAGTCTAAAGGGTAACTTCTCATGAATATTTTCCTATTTTCTAGTTCGATTAATAATTCAAGGGGCTCTTTCGATTACCTATTTGAATCACGAATTTAAACTAGAGCATAACATGTAAAGCAATTCAATATCAAGCTCATCTTTCGATTAAGCAAAATAAGAAATAACTCCACAATACGAATTAAAACTCTCAATTAATTTCAACAATTATCAAGAATTGAATCCCTAATCAAGTTGTCAAAATACCGTATCTATCAACACCCTAATGGAATTTACTCCATAGCAATGAAAAAAGTCATCTCAATAAGGTTTAAAACTATACAAGACATCAATGATAATGATTCGATACAAATTCCTGTATTGCATCGATCGTTGATTGAATTCTTGATGAATTCTTGTGTCTTCTTGCCTTGGTTGGTTCTTCAATTTTCCGTAGGTCAAAAGTCCTTCAAAATATATGTTTTCAGTGTATTTATACTAAGTAGGAATGAACCCGGACGAAACTACCCTCTTTGAGCCAAAGTGAAAAAACCTGCAAACTTTTTACATTTCATGCATCGCACAGTGCGTCGCATTAGTGTAGTTTACACAATTGCAAACTCTCTGAACTCCCAGTGTCTGACAGACTTTTGTGTTAGTACGTCTCAATAATGCAATTTCTTGTCAGACGACAAAACTCCTAGTCTCTAAACTTGTCAACTTCTGACACACATTTGCACTAATGCGTCACACACTGCTACGCTTAATGCGTCACATTAGTACATTTGTTCTAGCCCTTGCACTTTCTTTCCACTTTCGCATGCATCGCCGGTCCACGAGCTCCGGATGTGATCCCAGTTTAATTCTTTGGATTTTACTCAGACTACAAAGCTCCAAATTTTTCGATTTAGCTTCAATTAATCCTTTTAACTCGAAATCATTTTCTGCAAGACATAAAACATGTAATAAGTGTAAATCACTATCGTTAAGCTCAAACACACGTAAAATATAGTAATTAGAATGTAAACTACAGCTAAAATACAGGTTTCTAGCATACCTTCAAGTCCTCTTGTCCTACTCGTATGTGCTCTCCACTAGTTTCAAATGCGCTACTTTCTTAGCTTCCACTTTTCTTTGGATCTTTTCATTTCGCCACCAATCCCTTTTCTGCCTGCTATAGTAACCCTTGGAGACCCCTAACAGCTCTCTCGCAGCCTCCGTAATGTAGTTATCCGTCATTATCCACATATCACTTGTGTTCCCACTACTCTTCCATACCCCCATAGCCAACAGCTTCTCCTGCAACTCCTGAACTTTGTCCTTAGTCAAGGCTTCCTACTTGATCTTCTGTTGACCCCATGCATCCCTCTTCTTCCTCTTCATCACAATGTCTAGGTCCATCACCAAGAGCCTATACTGGGTCGCGAGGTTCTCACTCAGGATAACCTTACAATCTCTGCACAGACCTTTACCACACATTCTGTAATCAATTTGGGTCTTGGCCATCGTACTTTGGAAGGCAACTAAGTGTTCCTTCCTCTTCTGAAAACTCGAGTTTGCTATCACCAAATCGAACGATTTAGCAAACAAAGAAAGAAAAAAGAATTTCCCTTGTTTTGTTTCCGGATTAGAAAAACATCCATATTTTTAATCTCTTGACAAGTTGACTTCTATTTTCTTCTTCATTTGTCCAACAAAAAAACAAGACGAAATTTGATTTTCTCACTTTCTCTTTTATTTTCTCTTACCTTACCTAGTTTAATCCAATTATAACCTAAGGTAAAGTAAGTTGTTTGTCCCTAATCCTAGTGCCAAAATCACATCTCTAAGGTTTCTTGAAAATGATAAAAATGCACCACAGTTACGAAAGACGATAACCTTGGGTTATAAATTTCTTACAAAGCAGTCTTTCCATTTGGTACGAAGGATAGGAGAAAGAAAAAAGGGAACTGTGATGAGTTTGTGGCGGAGAGGAGGGTGGTATTGGCCAAACGCTGAGTACCACTACACTCACTACTATTTCGTGACAACATTGATATGCACTTTACATACGTATACACTCACTACTATTTCATGACAACATTGATATGCACTATATATATATATATATATNACGACATGCATTACACACACATGGTGTTGGATAAGTAAGTGGTAATAAAAAATTTAAGCTTGATCTTTGTTCTTTTTTTAATTTTCAAGGTTGATCTAGTTGAGCGGGTTACTGGTTTCTCACTAATTATCAAAATGTAGTCAATTGCACACTATCTCCTTAACAAGATCCTTAATTTCTCCACAAAGATAGTAATTTGTTGATTTACACATTCCTACTCTGATATTTAGACTTTATTATGTAATCTTATATCATGCTTCTGTTTTTGGTAAGTTGTTATGAAGTACTTCTCCATAAAATACCACAAGGTGCATTCGTATAAAAACAAACACCAATTAAGTTCTTTCCTTTTCCTTTTTGGTAGGTAACTACTAGCAATGAGATCACTTCATTGCTTCCTCTATCTATAAAACATCCAAAACTAAAGTAATTTCAAACAAAGAAGAAAAACCTTGAGAGCTTTTCCAATGGAGGAAATACAAGATACTAATACTACATCTCTTAAGGTTCTAATGGTTCCATGGTTAGCTCATGGCCATGTAATTCCTTATTTAGAACTAGCCAAGAAACTCTCCAAAACCAATCTTTTCTTCATATACTTTTGTTCAACACCTATCATTCTTAATTCCATCAACCAAGAAAATCTACCAAAAAATATCCAACTAATAGAATTTCCTTTACCATCATCAAAACAACTTCCTAGCCATAACCACACCACCAATGGCCTACCCAAAAACCTCCTTTCAACCTTAATCCAAACTTTTGGAGAAGCTAGTTCAACCTTTGGCAAAATTCTTGATTCCCTCAATCCTGACTTACTTATTTTTGATGGTTTTCAACCATGGGCACCAGAGTTTGCTTCTTCAAGAAACATTCATGCTATTTATTTCCTAGTAGTTGGCTCTGCTTCTATATCCTTCTTCTATCACCATTATTTGTATGTTGGCACAAGAAACTTTCCATTCTCAGGAATTTTTCTTAAGGATTATGAGGCAAAACAACTCCAACTCGCCGCGAAAATGAACTCCCTTGGACCAAATGTTGCTTTCAATGGGGTTGAAAAATCCCATGATATTATTTTGATCAACACTTGTAATGAAATTGAGGGAAAGTATGTGGATTATCTCTCAACTCTAAGCAAGAAAAAAGTCATACCTGTCGGTCCACTTATTCGTGAAATGAAAACAAGTATGGAGAATGAGGGAAATGACTCCAAGATTATACAATGGCTAGACAATAAGGATGAGTCCTCATGTGTTTATGTTTCGTTTGGAAGTGAATATTTCTTGTCCAAAGAGGAAATTGAAGAAATAGCTCATAGTTTAGAGCTAAGTGAGTTGCACTTCATCTGGATACTAAGGTTTCCATTAGGTGAAGAAATTAACATTGAAAATGTACTATCAAAAGGTTTTCTTGATAGAGTTAAAGAAAAAGGTGTCATTGTGGAAAAATGGGCACCTCAAGCAAGAATTCTTGAGCATGCAAGTGTTGGGGGATTTTTGTGTCATTGCGGATGGAATTCTATACTAGAAAGTTTACATTTTGGAGTTCCTCTTATAACCATGCCTATGCATCTTGATCAACATACTCATTCAAGAATGACGGTCGAGCTAGGGACAGCTATGGAGGTTGTGAGAGATGAAAATGGGAAACTGAATAGAGAAGAGACAGCCAAAGTGATAAGAAATGTGGTGATGGAGAAGAATGGTGGAGAAATTGTGAAGGCAAAGGTAAGAGAATTGAGGAAAAAGATAAGTGAGAAAGGAGAAGAAGAGTTTGATCAAGTGGTTAAGAGGTTGTTGCACCTTTGTACCAAGAATAAGCAATGAACACAAGATGGCATAAAAGATGAATGGGTTGGTTTCTTTTTTCTGTGGGGGAGGGGGGGTTATGATTTTTGAATTGAAATGCACTTTTCTTTTTGTTCTGGAAATTTGTGATGCTTTTCTATCTTAAAATAAAAAAGAGATTCTATTAATATTGCAACTACACTCTCTTACTTATTTCACATTGTGGTCTATGTCTTCATCCTAGATTCTTTATGATAGAGTCCATTTTTTTCCTAAAAACTTAAGTTTTTGCCGGTGGCCTTGCAAACTTAAGTTGATTCAATTCAAGTTCAAAACTGGTTACGTACGTCCATCGGGTTTGGATTCATCACCCCAAATTGAAAATTAAAGAAATTGGCGGTGAAAGACCAGACCGCCAATTTTTCAAGTTTTTCATGATTGGAAGTGCCTTCACTCATTTTGTCGTTCTTACTTTATTTTGACTTTACAAGGGTTAATTCACGTAATTTTTGAAGTGATATAAAATGTGATTCAATTGGTCGTAGCAGTAAGAACTTACATTCAAAGAGAGTTTAGCTTTAGAGGAACTACCAGCAGAAAATTGCTTAAAAGATGTTAATATAATGTTTGATACAATTGATACTCGAAAATGAATGGGGAACTTGTATTTACTACGCAAGTTGGGCTATGCTTATCAAATTCCTTAGGCATATATACAAAGTTGTAGATTCACAGAATTTCGTTTGGCTTACGCATGCATATGTTTTTGGTTCTCTTTTCAATTGGTTGGCAAATTTTAATTCATTTCGCATATACTTTCTTTGACTTAAAATCCTTTTCCTTAATGTTGTATCATCAATTATCTTTAGTGAATTATACATAAAGTACACAAAAATAAAAAAGGAAAGAAGAGCCAGAAAGTAAACTCTTTAAAAGTTTCAATAGAACTTAAAGTTCACAATCAAGATTCACATAAATGACATCTCTTAACGACTGTTAGCTACAAGAAACATTGTCCAGATATATACATATTAGCATATCCATAGTGCGAAAAGAAAATACAATAAGATCAAAATGTGAGCAACTCCCTTCTGCATCCATTTTTCTTAAGGACTATGAGATAAAGCAAGCTTCATCGCGTTGAGTCCTCATAGAACCATGGTAAAGAAAAGGTTTTGGAGAAATTGAGGCAAACATACATCGATTTCCTATCTATTTGAACTGGAAAAAAGGTAATACCTGTTGGTCCGCTTGTTAGAGACTCTAATACAGATGAATCTTCAGAGATCATCCAATGGTTAAACGAGAAGGATCCTGCTTCAACTGTGCTAGTATCCTTTGGAAGTGAGTGTTTCTTGATTAAGGAAGAGATGAAGGAGATTGCACAAGGGCTAGAGATTGGCAATATCAACTTCATATGGGTAATCAGGTCTCCGGTTGGGGTTAGAGGAAGAGGATCCCCAGGCTAGAATTCTTGCTCATTCTAGTATTGGTGGTTTTGTGAGCCATTGCGGATGGAGTTCTGTAATGGACAGAATAAATTCCAGAGTCCCTATTATGGCCATGCCACTGCAATTTGATCAATGTATAAATGCTAGGCTGATGGGGATGGCTGGTGCTGGAGTAGAGGTGATAAAGGCAGGTGATGGGGGACTGAACACGGAAGATAAGTAGAGCGATAAAAGATGTGGTTGTAGAGATAACAGGGAAGAAATAAGGAAAAAAGGTACGAACAATGGGCGCTAAGATCAAAATGGGAGCAGATGAAGACATAGAGCTACCGTGATTTAAGAGCTGGCAAAACTCTGTGAGAAGCATAAACAACAGGAACAAAACCGTGGTTCTTGAATTGCTCGATCATGAAATGGCACATTGGGTTGAAGATTTGCATAGAAAAGAGGACAACATTAACTGAAACATATACACAATACAAAACTACATAGTCCAAGGCATAATGGAACAAAATCATTTCCCTTTGTAACATCTGTGTTTTGCTTTCACTTTTTGAAATAATATCTAATACAACCATTTAATGATTTGTATGCATTTTCTTTAAATAATGGCTTGTACATAACCAGCAACAAGCGTTTCCTGTCTCAGGTCTGTTGTGTATATCTCACTGACGAAAGAATCTCAAAAAACCTTTTACTAATAGCAAAACTTGATGATTTTAGATCATCTATCAACCAATGCCTATAAATCACAAAACCAGTCCTAAATAAGAAGTAATTCTCTCTGAATATTCTCTACGATATCGCTTTTGTTATGTCCTATCATTACTGTGATTGTTAGTATCGCTATCCGATGGTCACTTACAGAGATATTAGCAGCCAAAACTTCAGCCTGATGCTTGTCAAGAACACCGAAAATCTTGGTCAGCAGCCCTTGACTTAGCTGAAATTGGATCCCAAAAAATGCTAATCCTTTCGAGACAGTAACATTAACAGAGGAAACCCTGTTTCTGCATTGAGATAAAGCTGGTTTATCAACCACCAATTCTCCCAAAAATGACTTCTTCAAATTCTCCAACCTTACTATTTCTTGCTCTAGGCGCTTGATGTAATCTGTAGACTCTGCTACAATGTTCTCTCTTGTTTCCTGAAATTTTCAAAAGCCAAGAAAGAAACAGTGACTTAGCCATTATGTATCCAGTATTACCTAATATATGCATCACATTTTTATTTACATATGAAGTTAGAATAAAGGGCAGCTCGGTGAGTACGCTCCCGCTATGCGCGCGGTTCGGGGAAGGGCCGGATCACAAGGGTCTATTGTACGCAGCCTTATCCTGCATTTATGCAAGAGGCTATTTCCACGGCTCGAACTCGTGACCTCCTGGTTACATGGCAACAACTTTACCAGTTACGCCAAGGCTCATCTTCTGTGAAGTTAGAATCTAAGCAAAAAATAGATATGTATACCATAGTCTAAGGAACTTACTGCTAAATTACATTTCGGGAAACAAATCTAGTAACAGTTGCAATTGCAGATATAACCATTCAGATTGCAATTTTTCCTTATTTTACTGAATCAAAACTAGAAGATAAAACATAGTGCCCTTAGGCTTACTTTTTCCTTTATTGACTGAGAAAATGGGCATATTTTTTTATACAGAACACACACACACACACTACTCAAATGACTAATTCAAAACGTGACTTAGACAAACAGTCAGAATGAAACTGAGATAACCACAAAAAAATAGCATCAAACTATAAGAACATTTTAACAATACCCAAATAATTACGAATTTTCACAAACAAACTGAACCAAAATACAATACACAAATGAACTAAAGGAAACCCAATTGCTGAATTGAAAAAGCAGAAGAAGGGAAAATGACCTTATGGACGTGGGAGAGAGTAGGGACCAAAGATTGAAGAACAGAATACATCTCAGCCATTTTCCTTCTTCCCTCACGTCCCTTCTGTATATTAATACTCTCATTCTCATTAATAGGACCTTCTTTTCTCTGCCTTTTCCCATAATTTAATGAGCTACAACCCACCATCGCATTCGTAGTAGAAACATCAGTCAATGGTGGAATGCAAGTATCTTTGTACCCTTCCATTACACCCATAAATAATCTCTCTATTTCTTCCTCTTCTGTTTCTTCTCTCATCATTTCTTGCCACATTTCTCCTCATCTGTTTTTCATCACTCAGCTATAACTATTACTGTATATATGTGTGTGTATATATATAGCCCCCCNTTTTGCACCAACAAATGATAATCTTTTATTTGATTCTGTTGCAAATTTTGTTTGTGTGGGGTATATGTTTTTTGAGACTTGAATGGTGATTGATCACTTTATTGAATCTCAGCTGTCCGTTTTTTTTTCAACGGTGATGATTGTTCTGAAAATTTTCAAGATTTACGGTGCGGTTGTGTTGCTTGTGTAGTAAAAAATTGCTCATCTGATTCTGAACCGCCGAAACAAACATCCATGTGGGTGGTAGGGTAAAGGGGTAGGGGGGAGTATGTACTTGGGCTGTAAGAAAAGTGAAAATTTTATACACTTTAACCAATAAGAATGGTGAAATATCAAGTGAAGTGAATTGGTATAGGGAAAAAGGCCAAATTTGTCCATATACTTCGGATAATTAGTCACGTTTATATCTGTTTCTATTTTCCGTCTAAATTTATTCCCACCATTAACAAAGTAGATAAAATCATCCCTAACCCTAACGGATTTCCAACATGGTAATGGGACCTCTCACTTAAACTGCCAACTGGGCAATTATCAGCCCAAATTTTAAAAGGCTCGTGCCCATTTCTTTGACCCAAAGACCCGTGCCCATTAATAGCTAGTGGCTACTTCTCCTCTTTCTTAGAACCCATAAGTTAGACTATGGAAATTTTAGCTTAACATTGCTCAAGTGAAAAATAATAATAATAATAATAATAAATCATCTCCATCTAATTTCGTCTTCTCCATTTCACCACCACCACAACCAACGTGTTCTTCTTCTTTTCCATTTTTGGCCATTAACGTACTTTATTTTTTAAAACCTTTTTCAGCCATTTTCTTCTACATCCATTTTACAACTTTTTTCTTTACCTATTTCATCACAAGAATCAATCATGTAACAGGCGAAATCGGAGTTTTTTTCTCCCAAAAGTGGTACCCCATCAGCTGCAGCAGCAGCCTCTACTTTGCAAACTAGAAAAAATCTGTTCTTTTGACCAATCAATTATTGTTTTTTAGCAAAGCCTTGAAATTTTTGGAACCCATAAGAAGATAAAGATAGAGATAATCCTTCAAGGGGTTTAGGTTTAAGAGAATTAAAAGAATTGAATTTGTGCCTTCAATGGGTAAAATGTTCTGGTTTTGGGTTTAGAAGGCAGAGAAAGAAGCCCTTTTGTTTGTAGAACAACTTTCATTTTTGTTAGAGACACTCTCTCTTGTTCTTTATCTCTACAAGTCCAAGAAATAATCTAAATATTTGAGCTTTTAACAGGTTAATAACAAAAAGAAAGAGAAAAGGAAAAGAGAGATAAGGTTGGCGAAGAAGAAGATACAACCAGAAAGAAATGGGCACGGACCTTTTAAAATTTGGGCTGATAATTGCAGTTGGCAGTTTAAGTGAGGGGTCCCATTGCCACGTTGGAAATCCATTAGGATTGGGGGTGATTTTATCTACTTTGTTAACGGTGGGGACAATTTTAGACGAAAAGTAGAAACGGCTATAAACGTGAATAATTACCCAAAGTATAGGAACAAATTTGGCCTTTTTCCCATTGGTATATCATTTGATCTCAAAATCAAAATTTACTATTTAAAAATTACATATAAATTTTTTTATATAAAAATTCACTATTTTTCTAAACAGATGGAGTAATATCTAATGATGAAAAAATAGTAACTACACTACTCTACTTGTTTTACTGTTTGACCATACCTGAGCGTAAGCAAATGTTAATGATGGGTAAAACTTATATTGTTTACATTGTCACTATCTTAATTTACCAGATTAAATGAAGTGAGAATGTGTAATAATTAGACATAGTTTAGTGATAATATCGATGAAAACACATTTTATGTATTTATTGAGTTAATATAGTCATATAGAAATTGAGCGTGAGTAAATTTTTTAGAACTGTGTGATGTACTTTCTCCTTTTTTAGTACGGAATATTATATATATATATATATATATATATATATAAGTACTTTAACTTTCAAGTATTTGTTAAGTGTACTCAAGTCTACCTAACTCTAGTAAGTTTAGGTAGTTAATGTTATTAGAAGTTAAGCAAGTAGTTAGCTAGTGAGTATAATGTGTATAAATAGAATAGCAAAACAAAGAATTAGCTTGTACAGTACATTTCAGTCAATAACAGAATCAATTATTCTCTCACTATGCCAACTGTCTTCTCGAAGCTTCTTCTCCCTCTTATTCTTCTTCTTCTTCTCAAGCTCCAGCCTCCATAGCCATGGAAGTTAATATGGTATCAGAGCTTGCATCGTCGATCTAAGCTCAGTCTTCCGCTCGTTCGATCTCTGCGTCACCTCAATTCAGTCACATGGTATTGAATTGTCACAGAGTGACAGGGGATTGAAGCTAGGATTTTTTTAAATTACTTAAAATCGAGTTGAATTGTACTCGACGCAGCTGAAAATGACGATTACAGATGAAGACAACAATCTCTCACCGGCGAATGCCTCTCCGACATCCAGTGTGACCAGATTCTCCACAATCGACCATAATCATTCTCTCTACCTACAACCTACAAATACTCCATGTAGTTCTCTGATCTCTCTTCAATTGACTGGTTCAGACAGATATGCTATATGGAGTAAATCTATGCGAATTGGTTTGTTAAGTAAAAGCAAATTAGGATTTGTTGATGGAAGGTATCCTAAGTCTAAATTTGAACCCGAACTACATGATCAACGGGAAAAGGTGAATGCAGTAGTTCTGTCATGGATAATGAATGCAGTACGACCAGGATTGCTAAGTAGTGTTGTGTATGCATCCAATGCTCACAGGGTCTGGGAAGATTTAAAGGAAATATTTGACAAGGTGAATGGCTCTAGAGTACTTCATCTCCACAGAGAGATTCATACTTTTACTCAGGGAACTATGACTGTTTCTGATTACTTCTCTAAGCTTAGATATTTGTGGGATGAATTTGATGCACTCATGCCTTGCCCTGGGTGTCCATGTCCAGAATCTAAAAAGTATGCTGCTCAATTTGAATACCATAGACTTCTACAGTTTCTTATGGTCCTAAATGATTCCTACTCACAAGCTAGGAGTTAGATTATGATGATGTCGCCAGTTCCTAACATCAACAAAGCCTACTCTTTACTTGTGGATCTTGAGAGTCAGAGGAGCCTAGCAAATTTTATACAAGTAGTACATGTTGCAGAAGTTGCTGAAGGCACTCCAATGTTTAGCAACAGAGGTCCAGTAGCTGCAAGGGGGAATCCTAGGCCTCAGAAGAAGATTCCTCAGTGTGAGTACTGCCATTGCAAAGGACATACAAAGGAGAACTGTTACAAGTTGATTGGCTATCCCTCAGACTTCAAGTCTAAGAAGAAGGGAGGTATTCCTAGAGTGTATGCAAACTATGCAAGTCCAGCAGTAGGTCATGTCCCTGGTGAGTGATGCCTGCAAGTTCACTAACAACAATCCTCAAATGCTCTTTGGAATGCAGAATCAACAGAGCCTTCAAGTACCTCAGCAGCTTATTCAACAACCTACTCCTTACTTCACACAAGAATCATATCAGCAACCACAACCAATGCATCAGAAACCCACTCAGCAGCCTGCCCCTTTCTTCACACAGGAACAATATCAACAAATTGTTCATTTGCTCAACAAAGACATAGATGAAGGCCCTTCTTACAAGACTGCAGCAGCAGGCACTCTGATTGCTCTGGTATCTCAGTATGTTAAGAATATAGGGATAATAGATACTGGAGCCTCCAACCATATGCCATCTACCCTGCAGTTGTTAAAATCTTGCCAGCTTGTTCCAGAGTCTGAAAGAAACAAAGTGCATTTACCTACAGGAGATGTAGCACTAGTCACACATACAGGAAAATCATCTGTGTTTACTAATCAGGACATTAGTGATGTTCTATATATACCTGATTTCAAATATAATCTCCTTTCAGTATCTAAGCTTACCAAAAAGTTGCAGTGTTTAGTGGCATTCTTCCCTGACTTTTGTATATTTAAAGATCTCTACAGTGGTCAGATGAAGGAAATTGGTAAGGAGAAACTGGGACTCTACATCCTGCAAGGAAGTTCATTACCTACTCAAGCTAAGTCTTCAAATAATATAGTTAAGGCAGTAAATAAAAAGGTGTGTTACAACTAACAGTAGCAACAACAATAGTACTAATGTTTCTGATTCTTGCTCATTATGGCATGTGAGATTAGGCCATGCTCCAATTGAGGTGATTAGAAAGCATGAGTCACTCAGTAAGCTGAAACCTTGTGATCAATCCCATTGTACTGTGTGTCCTTTGGCCAAACAAACAAAATTACCTTTTCAATTGAGCACTAATGTTTTAAATGCTGCATTTGAATTAATACACTGTGATGTTTGGGGACCCTATAGGGTACCAACACATGATGAAAAAAGGTTTTTTGTTACAATTGTAGATGACTTTACCAGATATACTTGGATTTGCCTAATTGTTTCAAAGTCAGACTCCATAGTTGTGCTAAGAGACTTTTTGAATAAAGTGAAGAATGTGTTCTTTAGTTCAGTTAAGACTCTAAGAACAGACAATGGAGGTGAGTTCTTTAGCCATAAGGTCAAGAATCTCATGTCTGACTTTGGCATTAATCATCAAAGCACATGTGTCTACACTCCACAGCAGAATGGGATTGCTGAGATGATGCACAAAACTATCCTGAACATGGCTAGGTCACTTAGATTTCAGGTTGCAATACCTTTAAGGTTCTGGGAAGAGTGTGTCACCACAGTTGTCTACCTAATCAGCAGACTACCCTCAAGAGTCACTGCTGACAGGTCTCCATTTGAAATGTTGTACTCTTATGCTCCTTCATTATTTCACCTTAAGGTCTTTGGCTGCCTATGCTATGCTGCTACTCCTAAGGTAGTAGACAAGTTTGCCCCTAGAGCTGTGCCTACAATTTTCATGGGATATTCAACCACACAGAAGGGGTACAAGCTATATGATCTTCATTCCCATACTTTTTTGGTAAGCAGACATGCAGTATT